ATCTACACCTTAGAATTAGCAAATAGCTTCACTTTTATTTATTTTTTGTTGACGTTCAAAAGTTGATTTTGTCTTTGACAATTTACATTAAGTAGGTACCTATTCACAATCTCATTCAAAAAATATAACATAGCAAGTCGGTCGTCACAAAAATAGACGAACCGTTATCAAAAAATACGAGGCTTGTCATAAAATTGCGTCATACCAAAAACATGTTTTGTCAATTTACAACTTGTTATCAATATTATCATATCGCGAATCTTTGGTAGTAATCGTAGACGACGTTGCGTCATATATAGTTTTAATATTTATACTGGCACTGGTTCATACGTCTGGCATTCGAGTGAACTCATTCCAAGCAGCAACATCACAACATCACAACGTCACATACAGTCATAGTGTACTGAACAGTATACGCACAGTATCAGTGTATTGAACAATATACGCACAGTGTCAGTGTATTGAACAACAACATTGTATCACATTACAATCATGAACGCAGCGGTGGAGCACGATATCTGTGACATCCCCTTCGACGGGTACTTTGCACCCGAGGCCAAGAGACAAACCAGAAGATTTGGTTGTCCGTTCTCCAGGAGACACTCTCCTGATCAACACAAGGATATGGGAGGGATCAGACACGGTTCACATGAGTTCCATCGCTTCTCTGAACCTACTGAAGATGGACAACGCGGCCCAGCATGTCACCGCAGGTATAACTGGGGACACCACGGCCCACACAACAGAGCTGATGATGGAATTCCTCCCTTCTTTAGGCCTGCACATGATGGCAGACCTCACGATTTCCGAGGACCTCACGGTGAACACTTTGGACCTGCACCGTTCTGGTTTGCACGACGAGGTCCCGCTGAGTCACAGGGTCCATGGAATGGAGCTTGGGGAGGACCTGGACAGCAGAAACCCTAGAATTCGCTTATACTATAGTTGATGTGATATGAGCACAAATATTATTGTGATTGATAACGCATTTTATTAGTTGTAGTCGTAAGTGAAATTTCTCATGAGTTAGTTGTATTTATTTCGATTATGTAAGTTTTTCAGTAGGAATGTATGGATTTAATGACTTAATTGTATTTTGTACCTGAAATAGTTTTAGTACCTATTTATATTTCTAGGCTAAGAACTTTAGAGATAATATCTTGTTTTTATTTATTTTCTCTTAGTATTGATTTTACTATGTTATTTCATTGTAATTCAAAAAATATTTGACCAATAAATTATAATAAAACTAAAAATATTGCTCCTTATTTACCGTTTTCATCAATTAAAAAACGGATGGAAACGATAGAAGAAAAACGAAATTTTTATATTCGACTTAGAATTAATACCACGTGGGCAAGGCTGCGGGCAATAAGCCAGTAATATCTACATTACAATAACATTAGCAGTTTCCTTTTCGTTCGTCTGTAGATATATAAACATAGAACGCACAGCTCACGGTCAGTAGTTGACTCATTCGTGCGAAGGCCACAACTACTACAGCCGTTCAAGTTCAAGACCAATCTGCCGGATTTTTTTATGGATTGTCGAGTTTATATCAAGGAGATAAAGTTGAAAATCAAATGAAGTCATTCCACAGACCCGACTTGCAGCTGGCCACTGTAAAAAATACTTATTGATATCTAATTATTATTTATTATTATTGAGAATTATCTTAACTAAGACTTGCCTCGATGATTAAGAAATCACATATTTTTACACTATTTTGGGTCAAGAAAAAACACAAATAAAGAAAAACACCTTCGCTTCCATAATATCATTAAGTTTAATTACATAGAAGATACAATGACGTCACCGACGTTCACGTCACACGAGTTTGCCGTATCAGGTTCGATGTCAAGGCCAGACAACGTCAACTAATGGTATTTGGTGAAGGCCAATTGAAAACTAACATGGAGTCCGATCGAACAGTGATTAATGTACCGATATATCTAAACTTATGTACTATACATAACATAGCATCACGCCTTTTATCTCCGAAGGGGTAGGCAGAGGTGCACATTACGGCACTGTTAAATGTAACACCCACTTTGCACTATTTATGTTATGAGTCCCATGTAATAGGGGGTGAGCCTATTGCCATATACTAGGCGCAATTCCAGACTCCGTGCTAATACTGAGTATTTTCAAAAACCCAGTAATACTTTGCCCGACCCGGGAATCGAACCCGAGACCCCTTGCCCGGCAGTCGCACTTGCGACCACTCGGCCAATAAGGCAGTCTATGTGTATTATGTACTATACTGTATAGATATTATAAAGGCGAAGAGTATATTTCGTACATAGTGGCATTCTAAATATTAACATGTTGGTTTTTTATGTGACATAAACCACCCAATTCCGAATGTCCGATGTCACAAATATTTGTAACACACATTTTTCCCCAATTGGTGATTTGAGTCAAATGCGACAGGGGATTCCCGGTGAATGGCAATCCCACAATTCCAAACTACATGCTATTACTGAGAAAACTAAATGTACCTATTTGAATTGTCCTATGATTCATCCGGAAACTCTTTAGTTTTTTGTACGGAGTAGTAGGAAGAGCAGATTGATGACCTGATGGTAAGCAATCAGCGCCGCCCGCAACACCAGAGGTGTCACAGATGCGTTGCCAAGCCTTTAACTATGTAACTATAGAGTTTTATTATGAACCTGATTGAAAAATAGTAACCTATGGAGTTCTTTTCTCGTTCTTCTCCATTTTACAGCACACAGCTTTACTTGTTTTATTGATATTCAAAAGTTACTTCTTGGTCTAATTGAAATAAAGGATTTTAACTTTGCTTTGACTACTTAAGCACTCACTGACTTTGACTGCACTGTAGGCGCGGTGGATGGGCAACTGACTACCGCGCAACTAATCGTGGGTTCGATTCCCGCACGGAACAACTCTATGTAATCCACAGATTGTTGTTCCGGGTCTGGGTGTCATGTGTATGTGATATTGTATGTTTGTAAACGCACCCACGACACAGGAGAAAGTCCTAGTGTGGGGCAACGTTTTTAAAAAACAAAAAAGAAAGATAGAAGAATCAAACAAAACAAATCACTCTTGTGACTAAGCGACTTACTAAGTACCTAGTCCAAAATCTGTATTCTTAGTGAATACCACAAGTCATTCATAATATCTATATTTACAACGCAATAAAGGGTAAATAAACATTGTCTTATCAAATTGCACTGATATGAATTTTGATAAAAAACGACATCTGTTTAAAAATATAATAAATGGTATTCAAAACCGTACAGAATTGCATCATACTATATCGCCATTTTTTGAGGGGAGAAAATCATTCAATGCTTTCCCTCCCACCTTGGGTTAGGCAAAAGGGAGTATCAGACTCTATAAACTATTACTATCCATCCCGTTCCTACTCCTCGTTCTCCTCGTACTCCTCGTTCAACCCGTTAAGTCGTCCGTATCCCGGTAAGCTCCGTTTCGGGCATCAACCCTACTGGGCCCCATCAGTGGTGGTCTAATGGCTCTTGTATAGTTTATCGCTATCACATTCACAGTCCGTGAACGTCCACTGGTAGACTAAAAACCACCTCAACATGAGAGGTTTACCATAAACTGCACACTTGACAAGCAGATTGAAGATCTCAACTTCAAAGGATCAGGTTTAGTAGCTACCAAGTCTCGGGTCAACCAGATCTGAGCGAACGGGGCGTCACGGTCCGCGCGGTAATATCACAGATTGGGCGTAGCAGGGCTGAAGCTCGATACGTAAACGCGGACGACTTATCGTGGTATATGGGGCTCCGGCTCGAAGCACGAGTAGGAACGTAGTTTAGTCAGTAAGAGTCTGACACTCTTTCTCACCTTGCTCAGTGCGGGAGGAGTCGTTTGATGATTTTCTGTTCTCAAAATATAAATGGTTTCATTCTTTGGTAAATATTTGGGTCTAAGTATCAGTATATCCTTGTAAGGAGTACCATTTTTATCACAACAGCTAAATTATCTAACTATTGCATAATTTACACAATGTACTACGAACATGACTCATAAGAAAACTCCAACTGCCTAATACTTCTACTAGTCACGGATAATGTAACAATCGGAAATAAATAGTCTGTGCTATTAAATTAGGTTTAAATTCCTAAAGCATAATTTGGAGTATAGAAAACAAAAGTTATGGCGTCTTTGTGAACTTTTATTGTACTTGAACTGGTGGAAATGTACAATTTAATTTGAACTGTATGTCTTTTTAGCGTAAGGTATATAATCTCAAAGATTATTACCGATAAAGAAGTCTGTGACGTCACTACAATTAAAGATGTCCATTTTTTACACCATTTATGTGTAGACAGGTAACTTAAGGCTCAAAATCATATAGCATAATATTAATGTAGAATGCTCAAGATGCACTTAAATTAGTAGAAATATCCAATCGAAAGAGAGCTATATGTATTACACAGTGAGACTTAATATTCAGAAGCATTTTTATAAGAGTAACAACTTTGAATTGTTACGTTTTAATAATGGAACTTCATTTTATAAAATTATTTAATTTAATCTAAAAAATTATAATTCTAAAGTATGTCAAAATGAAAAAAATATAAAAAAATAGTCTACAGCGTATTTCAATAAACCAATTGCAATTTCATAACAATGAAAAAAAATCTGAAATAATTTCGCCATAACCTCAAGTTTACCATTTATTACAACACTGGTTAATATCATTACACACATAATGTTTATGAAAAACACCCCTAAAAATCCGTGAACAGCTTTGAAACAAAACATAAACAGAGTATTTCATCAGCTATCCTGCGCGCGACGCCTTGCAATGAACGAGTCCATTGCGTCATACGTCTGGCCGATATAAGCTAAGCTCCATTCGTTCACCGAGCATTCTCACTACATACTTCAACGTGAACACTTGTATACAATTGCAATTGCAAAAACTATACAGTATTAAAGAAATACATAATAATTTATTTTATTAATTATTGTTGAAGAAAAATCGAAGAAAAATGGACGCCCGATTTGAATACGACGTCTGCGATTTACCCTTCGACGGGTATTTTGCGCCTGAAGAAAAAAGAAGACCAAGACGATTTGGCTGTCCATTCTCTCGAGGACACTTTGCACAATATGGTCCAGGTTTTGGACCACATGGTCCAGGTTTTGGACCGTATGGACCCGGCAATGGACAAAATGGGCCTGGTTATGGACCAAATGGACCTCAAGACCGCTTCCCTGGCAATCAAGGACCGCCTGATGGCCGTGGGCCCACTTGGGATCAACAGGGACCCGGTTGGGAACAGCAAGGACCTCCATGGGGCCGATTTGGGCCTGGATGGGGTCGTTTTGGACCTGGATGGGGCCAACAAGGACCTCCAAGACGTGATGGTGATGGACCGGGAGACCATTTCCACGGACCACCTGGATATGGACCAGGCCCTGATGGCAGGCCTCAAGAATTCAATGGGCCTAATAATGAGCAGTTTAGGCGTTCATGGTTTGGGTTTGGGAGACGTGAGCCTTCTGAGGGACAGGAAAAGCCCATGGGAGGGTCTTATTAGGCCCTATATTTAAAAGGTCTTATAGCTTTATTATTTACAATTAGTTTAATAGTGTTAAGTGAAAATTAATAGTCAGTTTGTTTACAAACGATTTAATTGATTTCATCTTGTGTGACTTCACAGTGATATTTTATAAAATAATTTTGTCTTTAAATAAGTGCATCTATTAAGATATGATTAAGTTGAAATTGCAATGATCAAATGCCTGTCTCAGTAAGTATTATTAAATATTAACTGGTTTGACAAAATTGACTGTCTCTTTGTGTTTGAGTTTGTTATTTATTCTCAGCAGTTGCTCAGAGTCAGAAGGTTTTGTCTTTAACCATTTATTAAACTTTACCAATAGTCAGTAGTCAGTTTGTCTACAAACGATTTAATTGATTTCATCTTGTGTGACTTCACAGTGATGTTTTATATAATAATTTTGTCTTTAAATCAGTGCATTTATTAAGATATGATTATGTGATTTTTAAGTTGAAATTGCAATGATCAAATGCCTGTCTCAGTAAGTATTATTAAATATTAACTGGTTTGACAAAATTAACTGTCTCTTTGTGTTTGAGTTTGTTATTTATTCTCAGCAGTTGCTCAGAGTCAGGGGATTTTGTCTTTAACCATTGATTAAGATTAACCAATAACGAAATTGTTAAAAAAATTGTACCTGACATTTTTTGTGAACCAAAACTTTAGATATAGGTTTTCAAATACATTTCGATTTATATTCTATATCCGAATATAGAATAGAAAATATATCTATCTGAATATAGACTTTAATGAATAAAATATGTTGTAATTATACCTAGTTTTTATACAAAGGACTACCAAACATTTTTATTTATAGTATTATTTTATGCCATATTATAATAGTAACTCAATAAATGATGCTAAATAAGAAATTTCTAATTCTTTTTTTTGTTGTATACAACATAACTGGTGAAATGCTAGAACTCTGCCTACCTCGAGAAAAGATCGTCATCATTAGCAGCCATAAGTGCTTATTGCTGAGCAAAAGCGTCTTCTCACACGGAGAATGTATGGCAGCATAACTCACTACGGTTTCTGATGACGATATCATTATAAGTTGATATAATTCCAAGTTTCCTTACAATGATTTTTTGTCGCTTTAGTTGGTCAATCAACAACAGTTGAAACATTATAACAAATTAAGAATAACGAATACACACAAATAGGAATCACTTCCATAGTGGAACGAGTCACACCCTTGAGTGACTTGAGTCAGACCAGTATGGACTCGTTCGGGTATGACTCAAGGTTCAGTAATAGCCCCTCTTTTCATTTTATCGATTTACGGCCTATCTGTAGTAGCGAACGCTAAATCCCTCTTACATGCTGATGACTTAAAACTGTTGTATGAATTAAAATCTGAACTTGACTGCCAAAGCCGTATGAATTATGGGAATAAGCGACTTATGCTGGAATACTGAAACGTTATTCAATTTTAAGTCGTGCTTAAATATCGTGCCGTCTCTGTTATTTTACAAAGAATTTGTAGAGATAGAACTATACTTAAGCACGACTTAAAATTGAGTAACGTTTCAGTATTCGGGCATTTGTGACGCTGAGACGAATGATATAGGCTAAAATGAAAAAGGAACAAAATGAACAGGTCTCTAGTAATACGAAAAAAAATATGTTTCTTTCCCTTGGAAATAAAAGAAGAGTTAAATATTTCATCTTTGATTCTTCTTCTTCTTCTAAAATGAAATTTGAAATAAAAAAAGTAGGAACATAAAATCACTCTAAATTAACTAAATACGATAATGACGAAACGCAAAATGCTATGAAGTACTCATCCATTACAATGCATATTAGTAAAAATAGCTTTACGGAATTGACCAACACTGTCATTGTGCACATCAGACACATCAAGGGGAACTTAATAGGATAATGTTTTCGATCAAAACAAGCCCTTTGATTTATCGAATACTGAGAAAAAAGGCATTCAGTATTTTTTACGAAAAATGGAAAGCTTCAACTTCGTAAAACTATTCTTGACTTGTCTACGCTAAGATTGCTGAGAACAAAGAATCGGTATGTTGCCTGCTTTGGTATTCGGTCAATTGCAGTAGCTTCATAAGACTCGATTCGAGAGCAAAGAAGCCAATGACTGGAGAAATGCAGAACAGTAGCTCAGTGTGAATTCACTGAGCATTACTCTAGAGTACATAGTTTAGAAGCTAGAAGTAACGTAACATAACATAACAACAAGCCTTTTATCCCCGAAGTGGTAGGCAGAGGTGCACATTATATGCCACTTTTCACTATGTTATGAGTCCCATGTAATGGGGGTGAGCCTATTGCCATATACCGGGCACAATTCCAGACTCCGTGCTACTACTGAGAATTTTTAAACTGGGGTAGTAATACTTTGCCCGACCCGGGGATCGAACCCGAGACCCCTTTAGAGGCCGAAGCTAGAAGTAGTATCCATATAACGTGTACGATTACCTACTGCATGAAGTATGCAGCTAAAAAGCAACCTTAAAAAGATTTGACCAACCTATCAAAGTCAATCATCAATCAGCAAACTGTGAAATAATCTGTCGTCGGCGATATTTACGTATCGATACGAACTTCAAACCTGCAAGAAAAGAGCGTATTCCTTTTTAAAAGGCCAGCAAAGCACCTGTGACTCCTCGGGTGTCCATGGGCGGCTTTTTAGCGGATTGCTTACCATCCTAGCTAGTTTGCTTCCTGTTCCCTAATAAAATAAAAAAAAACCATCTCTAGCCCAAACTTAGGTTTTAAAAACAAGCTATTTTTTTGGATAAACCTACATTAATGATTCAGAATCCGACTTCGTATAGGATTGTGTATATTTTCAAAGTCAGAAAAGTATTCAAACAAACCGAACTTAATAACTCTAATCTCTAATCTATGTAATCTCTAATCTCTCTAATAAAATAAAAGCAAAATTTTTGGTCATGTAAAAGCAAAATTTTGTGAAATAATATCTGAACTTATTCACCTGTATAATTCGTCTTCATCAATTTGTTCTAGTGAAAGAAGCATTCCCTTTCTATAACTGTTAAAAAAACTACTTAAAATTATCATTAAACCAGAAAAATTTAAACATTCTTTAGCCCTTTTATCCATAGAGTTGGAGTTAACCAATTGAATTTCGTACGATGATGTCGTTTGGACAATAAGCAGTTCCGAACATATATAAAGTAGTACCATAGAACTCAGTGGTCAAACAAGGTTTTGGGCGGAGAGTGACAGATTCCTGAATAACTTTAGAAACAGTTACCAAGAGAAGGTTGTCAAAATCCAATCCGTGGCTGAGGCCACGTCGGCGCTCAGTCCACGCAGGGCATTCCGCTACAGTGTGTTCCACCGTGTCCTCAGGGCGGTCCTCGTAGTGATGGGGAATTATATCAAGTTATTAAACTGGCGACGGCACAAATCATTGTTGAGATGCAGATCAGGCTGATTATTATAGTATTAGAGCGCTGGCAAGCTTGAAATATTGTTTGAATGGGTCCAAAAGACAGAATTAAAATTTTTAAGTTAGATGCACGTCATAATCTCAAGGGCAGCAATGAACTCCTATGTTATAAATAAAATTGGTGGATGTAACCAAATGCTTCAAAGTAATGCAAGCTCCATCAAAACAGGAGTAGGAATAGAGTGGCGATTAGTCAGTAAGTCTGACACTCCCTCTTATTTCACAAAAAGCAGGAGAAGTCGTTTGGAGATTTCCCTCCCTCAAAAAAGGTTGGTCTGCAGTTTCTATCTATCTCCAAGGTTTAATAGCGTGGTAACCTTTCTATAAAGATATAAAAGAAAAAGTACAGTTTCTAGATTAAAATATTTTATTAATACTTTCACAAATTGAATGACAATATTTGAATAACAACTATAAATTCAATAAATAATAAATTGTAATACTTCAATTATAAAGTAAGAATTTCTGTAGCTAATACCTTATCATAAATCTCACTATGTAAATCACTTAATTATGCGTTTAAGCAAATAAACGCATAAAATAACTCACAAAATATAAATGCAGAGAATAATTAATTAAGAATAAAAAGCACCTCTATACACTTATTAATAAAGAACTTTTTTCTTTAGCCAAGTATTGTTACTTTTGGTCGGATCCCCAAGCTCCAGCCCAAGGTCCCCAAGACTTGCCCCATGGTCCTTTAGGACGTTCCTCCGAATCTGAAGGTCCCTTACCTCCAAACCAGTGTCTCGGTGGCCCATAATGCTCATTGCTTGGTCCTCTCCAGTCATAATGTCTCTCATCGCGTCCATGTTTAAAACCATGATGTCCAAAAAAGTGATGAGGTGAAGGTCCATCTTCTTGCTTGGGTCCATTATGGAACCATCCCCTGTGGCAGTCTTTTGGTGGTCCACGATGGTAATCCTTTGGCCCATGATGTCCTGGTCCATGGTGCCATTCTTTAGGTCCAAAGCCTGGTCCGAACATGAATGGTGGAGGTCCACGTTCACCGGAGTTCTGACTCTTGGAGAAAGGACAGCCAGAATGCTTCTTCTTTCCGTCTGGAGGAACAAAAGGTCCCTTGAAAGGGTAGTCGTGGTGTTCTTGGTCGAAATGTGGGCCCATTTTGGATTTTTTTGGATACTTCTGTTATTGATGTTGTGGTTTTGAACGAAAGGACTCGAATGATGATTGTAGAAGTCAAAATCGGTTTTTATAGTCTGAGTGACGCAATATTTTGGGTGATTTCGATTATAAATACGATGGAAAACTGATGTAACCGTAATGTATGTATTGACTTTTTGATAAAAACTAAGATCTTCGTCTGATGCAACATTTGTTGATTATGAATCTCCATTAATGATCCTGTAGGATGGTGAACCATATTTTAATCACATTAAAGTTTAGTTTCCGATAAAGCTTTTAGGTCTTTATGACTTTTCTGCATAATATAGCTTTGATTATTCTGAAAGCAACTTTAAATACATAGAAGTAGGGTCGGTATTTTATTATTGGGTTTGTGAGGTTTTTC